CTGGCTCAGGGCTCTTTCCCAGCACCACCCTGATCTCTGCTTCTGTCCTCACATGTCCTTCTCTCTGACTTTCCTGCTTGCCTCTTTGCTGTTTAAAGACCCTTATGATTATATTGGATCGACTGGGACGGTCCAGGATAATTTTGTCTCAAGATCCTTAACTCAATCCCATTTGCAGAGTCCTTTTTGCCCTGTAAAGGGACATAGTCACAATTCTGAAGATTAGCTTGTGGGTGTTTGGGGGGCCATTATTCTGTCTGCCACTGTGCCCATCCCCCAGCTGCTTTCTGTTTCTTTCCATCTACCCCAGTCAGGCCCTGTCCTAAATGCTTTCCCATGGATTCACTCATTTAATCTTCACTACTACCTGGAACAAAGAGATCTCTAGTTATAGATGAGCGAACCAAGGCAAACCGGTTCGATTACTTGCCTGGGGTCTCTAACTTAGCACCATCTAGAACTCACAGTCTTTGTCCTTCAAGACTTTTTTATCATCTTTACTGCTTTTAATTATAAAACAACACAATACAGGTGAATAAAGGGGACACCTGAGTGTCTCAGTCGTTTGAGCATCTGATTCTTGATTTCAGCTCAGGTCATGACCTCAGGGTGCTGAGACAGAACCCCTCTATCGGGCTCTGCACTCAGCGCAGAATCTGCTTATCCCTCTCCTTTCTCCTCTGCTCCTCCTCCAGCTTGCACATGCATGTGTTCTCAAGTCAGTCAGAACGCCAACTGAAAGTCAGTCCCCCTCTCCTCCACCCATCTTCATCTGGATCCCCCACCCCTCCTAATGGGCCTTCTGCAACTTTAGCACTTTAGTGCTCCTAGTAGTCACTACTATACTCTACATGTTATATACATGCCTTAATTTTTTATTTTTTATTTAATTATTTTTAAAAAAGATTTTATTTATTTATTCATGATAGACATAGAGGGAGGGTGGCATAGGCACAGGCAGAGGGAGAAGCAGGCTTGATGCAGAGAGCCCGATGAGGGACTCGATCCCGGGACTACAGGATTGCGCCCTGGGCCAAAGGCAGGCGTTAAACCGCTGAGCCACCCAGGGATCCCCAGTTTTTTAACTAACATAGTTGTCGATAGTTTTCCAGGTAATATATACTTTTATTAATTCTAAAACTCTAAAATAAAAATCCTGAATTTAAAAAGAATTCATGCGTAAACACCTATAGATCAGCTAACTTTGTTGAAACACGCAGACACAGAAAAAAAGAGCAAAGGCTTTGGAGCGCTGACGACCTGGATGTCAACTTTCACTCCACCGCTTATTGGAGTGTGCCCTTGGGAAAATGATTTATCCTCTCTTGAGTTTCAGTTTCCTCAGCCCGAAAATGTACCCTTCTTACATACTCTTAGTTGTAGATGAAGTAACCTGTAAATTTAAGCATGTTAAGAGTTCAATACATGCTAGTTCTTCCAAGAAAAAAGGAGAGGATATCTTCTGACCATGAGTGAAAAGATGGACAAGAAAAATGGGAAATATATTCCATCAGCAGCCAGAGTTTTTAAGGACATGGTCCTTGTCTCATATTTCTTCATTTGCTTAACAGACATTTTGAGGGCTCTGTCTGTACTAGGCACTGTGCTATCCCTTGATGGGCACACAGTGGTGAATTTTCATGCCCTTGCCTTCCAAAGTCGTAGTGTACGTCTTAGCACATAACAGGAGCTCAACATACAATTTTTAAAAGGGCTAAATCCTGGTGGCTATAAAGAAATGTCCATGTGTGTATTGAGGGTGGAGGAGAAGGAGTGAGGGTGGGCAGGGATTGGAGCCAAAGTGCCAGGACTATACTAACATGCTAATTGCATTTCATCGATTTAAGGCTGACAGTGATTGTTGTTAATATCACCTAGTCCCACAGACCGGCATACAAGCCGACATGATTTATTTAGCCTTTTGCAAAATTTGGTGTCTAACACGTAGTCTTTTTCCTGAAGAAATATATTAAATTCAAGGAGAAAACAGTTGTGGGTTAATGTATTTTTGGATCATTTCGGCTCTTTGGAACTATCTACAGTTAGTCCCAGTCATCTTTTGGGATATTCATGGTGTGTCTCCAATTTCTTCTCTATCATATTTGGCAGAACTTGTTTTGGATGCTGTTTAATACATTCACTAACCCCAGACAGTGAATGACTGGCAACAGGTGTGTCTGATAAAGAAAACATTGTTTCTGCTCTGCTTCAGGCATGTCTGACATGTTGGGGACCTGCTTTCCTTTGCAAAGCTGATAGGAATCTATTTAGGAGGGAGGAGTGCCTCCCAGTTTCAGGCCAAGAAAGGTTTTCGGTTTGGCTAGCAGCAGAGCTAAGCTGGAAGGAAAGGCTAATATCTTCTGAGCTGTCCACCTAAGCTGAATGATAAATGGGTACTGATGGTCTAACATAAGAGTGGTTAGCAGTAGTTTCCTGGGCAGGAGATACCTCTTATTACCTGGAAACAAACAGCCCAACAGTGATCCAGGAGTGATCGGTTTGGTCTTGTGAACTGGTCCATTGTAAAACAACTGTATTGATGTTAGACACTTGAAAACATCTTTACTATCTTAACTAGTTTTGCCAACTTTGACGATGTTATCTGAGATTGTGTATATTCCATGCAAAGGACAATTTGATATTACTATTTAGAGGACAGCCTGTATTCCTTGAATGACACTAACACATTCATCAAATGAGTCAGTGAACTAGTAGAGGCTTGATGGAAGAGAAATTTGAAATATAGGCCTTCCAAAAATTCAGGGATTGCAAGACCTATTCAGAAATCTAATTAGAGCAGCAGCAGGACAAGGAATAAACAAAGGCAGGATTTGTGCTTTGGGAAAAGGGCGCTGGTGATTGTGGGGATGGAAGCCTGATGCTAAGTGAGGCTAAGGCTTTGGGCTTTTGGGAGCATTTGGAAAGTTATTATATAGCATTGTACTGTATTGGAGGGACAGTATGGAGTATATCTGATCTGTACAGGAGGGACAGTATGGAGTATATCTGATATATATAGCTGTATATGGCTGTATATGTTATATATGTAATATATATACAATTTGAATTCATGTTTCTTCTTTCTCTCTTTCTTTCTTTTTTTTCTTTCTTTCTAGAGAGAGAGAGAGGAGGGGCAGAGGGAGAGTGAGAATCTTAAGCAGGCTCCACTCATAGCATGGAGCCCACTGACGTGGGGCTTGATCCCACAACCCTGAGATCATGACGAGTTGAAATCAAGAGTCAGACGCTTAACCGACCGAGCCACCCAGGTGCCCTTGAATTCATGTTTCTTAAATCAAGTACACTGGTATGCCCAAAGATCTGGCTAACCACGTGTGTCTGAGTGCTTTTAATTCATGGAACAGTTTAAAAATAGTCATGTAAGAGAATGTGGGGTGAGGAGGAATGCGTGTGCATGTGTGTATTTTTAGAGAATTCCCATGTGAAGGAAATAATGACATCTAATTTTGAAGGTGGCTCAATTCTTAAAGATCATGGACCAGTGCAGTAAGTCAAAACATTTTCTACTTATCCTACCTGCTCCTGCTTCATCCCTTGGATAGAATCTCACCAGGGATCATGAAAAGACTGATTGTCAATGAGAAGATGCCAATGAGTTGGTATCTGACCTATATTAAATATCAAGTTACTATGAATTCATATAAGATCCCAAAATATAGGGGGTCCCTGAGTGGCTCAGCGGTTTAGCGCCTGCCTTTGGCCCAGGGCGCAATCCTGGAGTCCGGGGATCGAGTCCCACGTCAGGCTCCTGGCATGAGGCCTGCTTCTCCCTCCTCCTGTGTCTCTGCCTCTCTCTCTCTCTCTATGTCCATCATAAATAAATAAATCTTTAAAAAAAAAGATCCCAAAATATAGATGTGTCATTGGTGTCTGCTTTATTCATAAGCAGGAGAGAGGACAGTCAAGTTGCTCTCTTTCACCAGAGCAGCACTAGGGGTCAGCTACAAGACTAGCACTTTATGTCCCCGTGTAGTAGATAGAACTGTCATTTGATGTGATTTGAGGGGAATAGGAAGGTTCCCTACCCTCAAATATTTGCCCTGTATGGCCTGAAAATATTTAGTTAGCACCCATCCCGAAATACCATCACGCAGAGCGCTACTGGGGTCAGCTTTATAGTTTACAAGACGCTTTTCTACAGATTAACTGTCCTGGAAGTAGAGCTGTCTTTCTATTCAGAAACGGGTGCCTAATTACTTCACAACTGGGCTATTTTCCTTCCAATGTTTAACATTTATAGTCATGATATGCATGCCCCACCGATCCTCCATTCATACCTCCAATAGGAATGCACTAAATCAGATTGAGCCCTTCCTAAATCTAGTTAAGATTCGTGGAGATGAAATTAATCAAACGAGATTAGTTTTACATAATCAGGAAGCAGGAGAAGGAAGAAGTAATTTTGACTCTTCTAGCTGAGAGCAGGCACCAACCAAGCCAAGGAAAGCAAGTGTGAGAATTCCAGGGGCAGAAGTTGCCTCTGAGTAGCTGACGTAAAAGATCCAACACTTTGAGATTGTGTGTAGTATCTCCAGGGAACACTTTGTCCCAGGGACCTCTGCAGCTTAAAAGAATCCACCAGCTAATAAAGTGAATTCCCTCCTGTCAGCAGTGGGCCAGGTGAAACTCTGTTATTTTCAGATGGACAAAATGCTGTTGGATAAGAGAAGGGACAGGGACGTGAGCGGGCCAAAATTTGATTCTGGCAAAGCAGGGTGTTTGGAACTTTGTCATATTGGCAAGTTTTCTTTAGTTAATGCCCACTGCATCATTTGTAGAGGCAAAGAAATTCTGGGGAGCAATACTCCAGTGCTGCTCTTCTCCCATAGGGCTAGAAAGTGACCGCTTGGAGCCTGCACCCAGTATGAGGCTACATGACTATTCCCAATGCATCATATGTGAAAATGGAAAAGCTTCCTCCACACTGGAGTGAAACTGAGCTCTATTGATCTTATAACTTCCCCAACCTCCAAAAAAAAAAAAGAAAAAAAAAGAAAAAGAGAAAGACAGAAAAGTGAGAGGAAACTGCAGTTTAAATAATGTAATCAGGAATACTGTAAAATTATATTTTGTGTAAGTAACATTGGCGATTTATACGTACATACCTGGTATAAGACTATATAAACAGATAATGGAGACTGTAATTTATGGTCAATTCAAAGGAGTTTTACAGATTATTTTGATTACACTTTTATTTTTCTTTATGGGTGGCGTTTAGAACCTAACTCTGGAAAGATGTGACACCTTGGCTCTTTGCTCTTCTTTGCGTCCTATCCTCTGTCAATCCAACTGATTTCACTCCAGATCCAACTGTCTGACACCTTCCTTGACATGCTCTTTGCCACCTTTTGGTTCAGGCCTTTGTTTCTTGCCTGGACAGAAGTGTTCTCCTTGGTCAGCTTTTGCTCATTTTGGCCCATTTCTTAGCCAAGCCCAACACCCTCATCACACTCAGTCTCGGGCATTCGCTCTTGTGATGGTGCCTTCAAGTATATTACTGCAGCGTGGAAAGCCTTTCTGTCTTCCTCTGGGCAACTCTGACCCCTAGGCCAAGACTCAGTTCCATCTTTGTCCATCAGTGAATCCTTTTTTCACCTTACCAGTCTGAGAAGTATTGTCCATTAAATAATCTGGATCTCTTCGCCCACAAAGCCCATCTCTGTCGGTACCTCATCGGTTTCAGCATTGCCTGTGCCATATTCCTGTGCCTTGTGCCTTTTCAGTCCCTTCTCTGCTTCCCCAAGGGGGAAAAAAAAAACCCACAGTAGAGGTCGGTTTTCAGTTCCTGCATCTGGGCAGACTTCTTACCCTGCAGGGCTTTCCTCTGAAATGCTTTTTCTCTTGTTCAAGTCTTCCACTTACCCCATACGTAACCTGGTTAATTCCTTCTAAGACTTCAGTTCTTTTGTTGTTTTTTGCTTTTGTTTTGACTTCAGTTCTTACGAAGTCACATAGCCTATATTCTCTGTCTGGCCTGTTATAAACTTTCTTGGCATCAGGCACCCTTTTCTTTTGTAGCATTTTTCACAGTTGTAGTGATAATATTTGTGAGATTGATTAATGTCCTTGTTCCCCATTGGATCGTATATATTCTGTGAGTGCAGGACTAGTGTCTCTGTAGTCTCAGAACCTAGCACTAGCACTGTGCTTGGCATTGGTGAAATGAATGAAGAATAAATGAGTGTCTTCCTGACCAAGTAAGCTCCATTCATGTCCAAGTACAGTGCATGTCAACATATTAGGATCGCTATGTAAATATTTACTGTTGAAGAAATGAACGATGGAACACCAGCAACTGTACATAACTCACCCAGGTTCTTCATCTGATTTTTTTGGGCTTTGGGGGACCAGCATTAGTTGTGTATTAGTAGTATAGCTTGCAGCTAAGAGCACACGTGGTTTCTTACTTTCCCAACCTCAAGAAACACTGGATGTGTGAAACCTAACGGTTTCAGGGAAGGCAGCCACAATAAGCCAAGGTATCAGGTGGAGAAGTAGAGGTATCAACGCAGAACACTCTACCAATTTGCTGAGAAGCCAGAAGTTAGCAGCTTGCCTCCGTACCTAACATAACTGTGTAAATTCAGACTTTTTGAGTTCTCGTGGAGTGCTAGCAATAAACTCTTACCATCCCAGGAGCCTTCCCATTGGTGCGGAGTTTGGAGATGGTGGAGAGCCCACTTCCCGGATGGTTTCTAGGATCTCACACATTTTTACGGAGGCTCCTGCTTGGAAATGCAGCTTGTCAACGGCTCAGACTGCGGCGTTCGCGCAGATCTAGACACGGTGCCTGTCCAAGAACCGTGAATGACACTTATTTTTCTGTTTAAACGGAAACGCGGAGCCGCACGGGAGCGACTTCTTGCAGGTGAGTAAGGAAGGACACGGGGGAAAAGGCGTGCCTCGCGCGCTACCCGCTCCTCGGCCAGAGGACGCCTCGGGAACCCGTCCCGCGTCGGCCCAGGGCGGCGGAGACCGAGGGGAGGGGCTCGGACCCAGCCTCCGGCCGCGGGGAGGCGAAGGGCAGCCGGCAGCGGCCGTCATCGGGCGGCGGAGCAGTGCCGCGGCGACCGGAGCGGAGGAGCCGGAGCCCCGCACCGCGCCGCCCGCGCCGCCCGCGATGCCCCCGACGCCCGCGATGCCCCCGACGCCCGCGCGGGCCGCCGCCGCCGGCCGAGCCCCCGAGCGCCCGAGCGCCCGAGCGCCCCTGCGCCTCCGCGCCCCTGCGCCTGCGCCTGCGCGCCCGCGAAGCCCCGCCCCCTCCGGGCGGCCGGCGCGCGGGGCCGCGCCTCCTCATGGCGGCCGCCGCAGTGTGTGGTATTTAGCGGGGGCGCGCGGCGGGCTCGAGGACGCGCGAAACGACGGCGGCGGCGGCGGCGGCGGCGGCGGCCAGGGGGGAGCCGGGGCGGCCGTTGCGGGGCGCGCTCTCGAGCGGCGGCGGCGGCGGCGGCCAGGGGGGAGCCGGGGCGGCCGTTGCGGGGCGCGCTCTCGGGCGGCGGCGGCGGCGGCGGCGGCGGCCCAGCGTGTCCCGTAGGTGCCGGCCCGGGGAGGAGGCGGTGGCGCTGCCCGGGGTTGGCGGCGGCGACGGAGCGCCTTTGAGCCGGGACCCGGGTCCGAGGCGCGCTCTCCGCCTACAGGTAAGCGGGGCCCGGCCTGGAGGGAGGAGCCGGCCGCGAGGGGCGCTCCGGGAGGAGGACGCCCAGGCCGGTAATGGCGGCGGGCGGGCAGGACGGCGGGGCCCGCTCGCGGCGCAGGGGCTGGGGCTGGGGCGGGGGCGGGGGCGGGCGGGGGCGGGGGCGCGGGCAGCCCCCCGGCGCCGGGCGCCTTTGTCTCGGGCCGAGCCGGGCCGCCCGGCCGAGCGCCGCCCCCCGCCCCTCCCCGCCCCTCCCCTGCTCGGCCCTGCCCGCCGCCGCGAGCCGGCGCGCCCCCGCCCCCGCCCCCCGCCCCCCGCGCCCCGCGCCCCGGGCCCCGCGCCCTGCGGCGGGGGTCGGCCCCTCCCGGCCCTGCCCGGCCCGGCCCCCGCGCGCTCGGGAGGCGGGCCCGGCCGGGGGAGGCGCCCCGCGCGCCCCGCGCCCCGGCGCCGGCCTTTGTTGTGCAGGGTCCCGGGGTGTGCGGCCAACATGGCGGAGGTCAGCTGAGTGCGGGCAGCGGCCGGCCCTGCGCTGCGGCCCCTCCCCGCGCCGCCCGGGCCCGGGCCCGGGGCCGCCCCCGCGCGCCCCCGCGCGCCCCCGCCCGCCCGCGACCCCGGGGGCGCTGCGTGGCTGCTCCCGCTCCCTGCCGGATCCCTCATTGTGCGGTGGGAAGAATGCAGCCTCCTCCCTTGTTTATGTCGCTAGAGAGCAGCTCGCGTGAAACCGCTTGCCAGGGAAGCCCCAGCTTTCCACTGCAAACCTTGGTTTTCCTGGGCCTCATTGGACGGGGAGTTTGGGGCCCCCTTTCTCGAGTCTCTCAGACGATGACTTAGGAATGTGGGGGACCCGGGCCTGGCAGGGATTCAGGATTGGTTTGCTCTGACATCCAGAGAGGTCCCGGTTTGTGTGTTGGGAAAAATCAGATTGTGTCGCCGATTTGTCAAAGTCACAGAAGCCATGAGCCTGGATATAGGGCAGCGACCCGGCTGCCTGTTCCTAGCGGTTGAACATTTACCATTTCCAGATAAGCGGCTGTCAAGGGTAAATTGTTAACTCTTTTCAGCAGCAGTTGGATGTTGCGAGCATTGGACTCTGCTTGCTTTGGTTTCATCCTGCCCCACGGGTTTGTGACCTTGGGCAAGAGGCTTAACCTCTCTGTGCTCCGTTTTCCTTATCTGCAAAATGGGTGTAAGGACAGTACCTACCTACGTTGTGGGATTGTCTGGAGAACTGATGAGAGGATAATAGGCGAAGGGGTTTGGAGCAGTGGCAAGGCCGGTGGGACGTGCTTATTAATAAATGTTTGCTGCTACGGCTATTATTATTTAGTAACTAATCTTAGGAGTTTATCGCGGCATGATGGGTATGTTGGAAGTGCCCAGACCGGAATATGTGAAATCACATTGTACATCGTTAGTGCTCGGATTTTTCTTTTACTGCATTTTGTTAGTTGTGCAAAATGAAAACGAGGTATAGATGATAAATGGGCAGGCGCTTTGAGATCATGGCATTTGGAAAGTTACTGTAGTGAGGGATTTGGATAGGTCCTGTGTGGCCCCGAATTTTAAGAATCAAAGTGATTAAGTTTCCTTTTAGCGCTTTTACGTTTATCAGTTAGATTCCAAGGACTTGACTTTAACTAACCTGGAAAGGTGGAACCGTGAATCCCTTTTGAGTGTTAGATGTCTGTAGATAACTCCCACCCCTTTTAGACATAAGGGAAGAGCAAAGTGTACTGTGATAAATGTAATGGTCTGGTAATTTTATCAGGGAGGTAATTGGCTCAAATTGTGGAGGAGAAGATATTGGTTAGCTGTTGGGAGAACTTTGTGACAAGTAGATTTTGACTTAAAGTGGATTATACAAATTGTAGTTTCTCATTCCGGAAATTAGTTAGTTGCAGCCCTAAAGTTTGCTTTGCGAAAATTTTTCTGTAGATAAAGAATTGGTTCAAATGCCCCCTGTTGGCATCTTTCCAGCATAATTTAGTAAAATTTATTAATATTTTAAACTGAAGTGCAGTACAATTAATAGATATGGAACTTTTCAGGATAAGTATTCCACAAACTGCACACTCAGAAATTTAATTCACTTTAGCTTAATGTCTGTTCCCTCTGAACTTTAGGAAGTTCTTATAAAATGATGTTGACGAATATTCTTTAACGTCTGTAATCGAAAGAATATTGTAATTAGGCTAAAACTAATTGGAGTTATAAAGGAAATATCTAGCTATGACAGCAGTGACATGGTGATGGTGAACACTAGGACTTTGTTTTCAGTATATACGGTGTTTTGAAAACAAGTCTTACGTAATGAGAGTGACAGTAAGTTTGGTAACGCTGCAAAGTGACCCTTTAAGTCGTATTTTAAAGCTCTTGATTTATCCAGTTTCCAAAGATTGCAGGTTTTTCTTTATTTGCTTAAAAAGGGATGTCACAGACTTTTGGTTGTAATTGTGGAATTGCCATACACACCGTGTTAATGTTTAAATTCTGAATATTTTTGGTGTGTACCTTCCCCACACGCAAAACAAAATCAATATGTGAAAACATCAGACTTCTCATCCCATCCTGCCTCTGCCTCCCTTTTCCTTCGAGAAATAACTGGGGATAAATTCTCCTCTTTATAGTCGTAAAATCTTTAATCATTACTTTTAAATAGCAGTTTTTCTCAAGCACTTTAAACTATTTGGTTTTCCATGGCTATAATTATTAGAGTATCTGAAGCATAAGGGCAAGAATTGTTTTGTGTTCCTATATCCTCAGTGCCTAACAATACATATTTATTCCCTGATATACTACTATGTACAGTGCTGATAACACTTTAGACCTATGTATTCTCTTATCTGCAGGTAAAAGTTTTTTTTGATGAATTTATTTTTTAGAGCAGTTTTGGGTTCAGTAGCAAAATGGAACAGAAGGGAAAGAGATTTCCCATACTCACCCTGCCCCCAGTCCTACATAGCTCCTGCACTGTCAGTAGTTCTCTACCAGAGTAGAGTAATACATTTGTTACAGTTGCTGTACCTGCACTGACACATCATTCTCACCCAAAGCCCATGGTTTTACATTATGGTTCAGTCTTGGTGTTCTGTGTTGGGGGAGTTGTGACAAATGCATAATGAACGACATGTATCCACCATTATTAGAGTGTACAGAAGAACAGTTGCATTGTCCTGCAAGTCCTCTGTGCTCCACCTATTCCTTCCTCCCTTCCCCAAACATTTGTCAAGCACTGATCCTCTTACCGTCTTCATAGTTCTGTCTGTTCCAGAATGTCATATAATTGGAATCCTACAGCAGGTAGCCTCTTCAGATTGGCTTCTTTCACTTGGTAATACGCATTGAAGATTCTTCTGTGTCTTTTCATGACTTGATTGCTCAGTTCTTTTTAGCACTGGATAATAATCACCGTCTGGTTGTGCCAGTTTATTTATCCACTCACCTGCCAGAGGACAGCATCTTGGTTGCTTCCAAATTTTGGCTTCCAAATTATGAATGAAGCTGCTAAAAACGCCCGTGTGTAGGTTTTTGTGTGGACGTGTTTTCAGCTCCTTTGAGTAAATACCGAGCAGCATGATTACTAGATCTTAGGGGTAAGAGTATGTATGGTTTTGTAAGAAACTGTCACAACTGCCTTTTATAGTGACTGTATGGTTTTGCGTTTCCACCAGTAGTGGAATGAGAGTTCCTGTTGCTCCGCATGCCCACCAGCATTTGGTGGTGTCAGGGTTCTGGATTTTGGCCATTCTAAAAAGATGTGTAGTGGTATTTTCTTGTTGTTTCAGTTTGCATTTCTCTGGTGACAGATGATGTGGACACCTTTTCACATGCTCATTTGCCCTCTGTATTTCTTTGGCTAGGTTAAGGCTTAAGTTGGGTCGTTGTTAGTTTTATTGTTGAGTTTCAAGAGTTCTTTGTATATTTTGGGTAACAGTCCTTTATCAGATGAGTCTTCTGCAGATAATTTCTCCTGGTCTGTGGTTTGTCTTCTCATTCTCTCGACAGTGTCTTTCCCTTCAGGTCATTTTCCACTTTTATGTACCAAGGTACTTAAGATTTGCATGTCGAAAACAAAAACCTTTATTGTTTTCAACTGTCCAAGGCTTTTACCCTCTAGTTTCAGTTGGTCATCAGGTCCTGATTTTGTTGCCATGTGGTTGTCTCAAATCTGATATTGCTTCTCTCTCACTCATTTTCACATTTACATTCAAATCTTCTACCTTCTAAGTGGTCTG